ATGCTGAAGCATTCAAGGCACCCACTTGGAGAACTACTTCTTTAACGTTGTAGCTAAACCACCACGTACAATGCCTGGGACGATAGGGTCTCAAAATAGTCATCATTATTTCATTATTTACTGAAATCCCATCAGCAGACACAAAATTACTTACAGGTCTTTAAAAGGGATTCTAATAAAAGTAAGGATAAAATAGTAATATCAGATACTTTAATTCCTATTATAGTCAGTAAAACACAGATTTGGCAGAATAAGTTATGACCTGCCCAAAGCAATATACTGACTTCACCATTGCTTTCTATTTTTGTTTCTATAGGTAATTTTGTGATTTCCCAATTCTGGGGATTAAATGGAACTCATAAAAGGTAGGTCCACCTATTGTACTAAAACATAGTCCCTTGATATAGATGATACTTGATTGCTTTTATATGAGTGTGTGAATAACTCTGGCATTCAGAAATGATAATATTCTTTCCTAGATCAAATCAGAAAGCTGTGTACATTAAAATGAGTTAAAAAGAAAGAAAACCTTCACTTCTAAAGTTAAAGCATGACTAACGCATAGGAGAAATTGTTCAACAGTTCATCCTGGTAAAAATATGACTTCTGTTGCTATGCCAAGGTTAGTGTCGGGTTAGGTTATCTGCAATTCAAGTGCCAGATGTGTGTGTGTGTGCATGTGTGTGTGTGTGCATGTGTGCATGTGTGTGTGCATGTGTGCATGGGGGGGGGTGCATGTGTGTGTGTGNGTGTGCGCGCACGTGTGTGTGTGTGTGTGTGTGTTCCCTAGATTGTTATAGACACTCCCTAGGCATGACTTGACAGAACGCTGTCCTTACAGAGATCTCTGCTCAGTGCCGTTTGGGTAATTCTGTGCCTCCTCATTCTTCCCCTAGCTTCTCCTGACAGTCTTTGTTGATCTCGCTACTGTTTTTCTCTAACCTGCTAGGTTTTCAATAAGTTTCCTGTTGTGCATTGGGATGGCAGTGTTCGTGGAAAACGGTTTTGCCTAGGTGATCTGAGCCAGCTCCCTCCCACCATTTTTTTTTAATAATTTAGAGACAACGAAGTGCTTACATTGCAAGAATTGACTCCAGAAGACTCCAAACCATTCACTGACATTTTATAGTTTAATTTCAGCTTCAATTTCAGAACTGGTGCTCAAAACAGAAGAGGTGCACAGAGGTGTGCTCTTGAAAAGACATTTAGAGCCTTTCATTTTAAGATTTCAAAAGCATTAACCAACATACTGAAATTCCCCTAAAATTCATATGGGGAACTAGTACACTAATGCTCTAAAAAGGACTTTGGGATATTAGAGCCAATAACGGTTCAGTCACTAGTTGTGAAGGTAACGAAGATTAAAATCAGAAATTCCACAGGAGCCTATTATTTGTAAAACAAGCAAACAAACAAAAACAAAAACAAAAAACCTTGAGAATTCAACTACTTCATTCTCCAGATTTCAGACAGGAGTCTATCAATTTTGAAAAATATCTGTTTTGGCCCCTTTGTCAAATTTTCTGATTGGTGGTGCTTAAGCAAAATGACAACAATCTTAGCTAGCATGTATGCACTATTTTGAGAGCTATCCATGTATTAATTCATTAAACCTCATAACAAAGCTGTGACTTAAGTACTATTATCATCCTCACTTGAAGCTATGACTCAGAGAGGATAAGTAACTTGCCCAAAATCACACAGTATGTGAGTGGCAGAGCCAAGGTTTAAACTCAAGCATTATAGATCAAGAGGTTCACAGTGGACGCCCCAAAAACCCTCCCCCAATTGCATCATGGGAAAAAAAAAACACTAAAATACATTTAAAATAAGCCTAAACCCCTAGTCACATCTCTTTTCACTTGATTGGTGATCAAATTCCTTTTTAGTCTCCCAGAGAGGTTCCTGAGAAGCTGTGACACAAACAAAACCAATTACCCAGAATCAGCTGTGCTTCCAGGTGGCTAGTCAGCCATTTTCTGCCTTATAATCTTAGGTCCTAAATTAGGGCAAGGACTAGAGGCCAGCATGTCTCCTGGCCGCTGCCCTCACACTCTTACCTTCTGGATCTTACAGCTCTGGTGGCCCAGGAGCACAAACAGAAAGCCACAACGAAGGGAAAAAACTAAGAACTTTATGTTCCTCCAATCAAAACTCCATCTCCCTCGTACGACAGCTCCACTGTATGACCTGAAAACTCAATTTAGACCTTTTCAAATACCAGAAAACCCCTTCCAGAGTTCAGAATAATGAGGACGGTGTTACGTCAGCAACACAACCAAAGAAAACTGGTGCTGAGATGCATCATTCATGTCCCCTGAGATTACTGGCATGGCTTGGGGTACACAATGAGACCTAAGGTTGCACTCAGGTCCTGCCTCTGACACATGAATCATTACAGAAATCACTTGTACCCATTCCCTTATTCCACACAGATGTGTTGAGGGCCTAGGCCAGGCTGGATGCTAACATGGATACCATAACAATACTCATCCTTGAGGAGTCCTGAGCTTACACCTCTCTGTGCCTTGTTTTCTTCCAGCAGAAAACAATAGCTAACCCCCTACATGCCTTCCCAAGGGTACCACACGGATTTCTGAGATATGAAAAATGTGGGAAGGAAAGTTGCTGCAAAGCCCTGATCCTTAGAAAAGCGAACTTTGCCGTCACAGTGCACAGCACCCGCTCTAGCAGTGCTCCCTGCCAAGTAGCCAGCCAAGACACAGACTCAGCAGGAGCACTAGTGTCTCCAACTAATGGTCCGCTTTAATTCCTCCCTTCCCTGAACACTTTTAAACTTTTTTTTCTGGAGTCAACCCAAGCTCGGCAGAATTTCCAGATCTGTGGAAGTGCAGCATGCAAGCAGCCCATTTCCTGACAATGCTGCAAAGCTTCAGGGAACACATTTTGTTATTTCCACATTTATGAGTTGAGCTAAAGCCCCGAGCCTGACTCCTGACCAGGCAGTCGCCCACCTGGGAATGCGGCAAGGCTGAGGGTAGGGGGGCGGGGAGAAGTGCCCTCAACAAAGGAAGGAGCATGCGCAGAAAAGTTAATAAAAATAAATGTTCCAATGGCTGCCTAGACAAAAAACACTGGCATCCGATGGGTCTTTAAAAGGGACTGAGGTGTGAAGATCATTTTCTGAGCCCCAGTCAGGGCTCTTCCCATGATAATGTTCTGGCATTAGTGCAAAGAAAGCAAAGTTTTGAGAAATGTGGTTCAAACTAAATGGCACATTCTCTAAATGAACTCTTTCTTTCTTAAAGCAACCTGAAAAATGAGGCAAAGGAACTGCACAGTATTTCAACAATAATAAAACTGCTCAGCAATTACATACATAACATCATGCGAGGCACGGTGAACAGTACAAAAAGAAATATAATCATGGAACAAATTATTTTTGAACAACTCTAAGGTGTCAGACATCGTATCAGCTACCAGAAATGTAAAGACAGATAAGACATGGCTCCAGCTCTTTGAGGAACTTTTAATCTAGTTTTAGAGAAACAGTAGGGAAAAGAAAGCTGGCCATGTTGACTGATGGTATTTAAGAGTAAGTTCTTATATTTACATTTTTTTCTTTCTATTTTCTGGAGAAATATTGTTGATTGATTCAAGTGGCTTGTCAAGAATAACATACTTTTTTGTTGTTGACAAGATAATTAAAAAGAAAGGAGCTTACTTCATTTCTAAATTATAACTGAAAATCTTTACATGGAAAGCAAAATTTTTAAAGGTGAGTTGAAAATAAAACTGGAAGAATACTAGCTCCTATTGATCTTCACTGTGACAACATGGCTGGTGTTATCAATATGGCTGACAGATAATGCCTTGTGTGTGGAAGCTGGTTATTTGTTATCAATATGTAATATGATGTCAAATGGAACTTTACTTGTTGCCTTGGGGTTTCAGCCATAGCCCAATCTGAGCACCTGATAGTACAATACCCCATATTCCAGTTTCAAGGCATTATTATGGGCCAGCCACTTCTCTAGGATTTACTAAGAGGAACTAGGGCAGAGTCAGACCTTGGAAAAACTCCCTCCCTCCCTCTCTCTCTCTCTCTCTCTCTCTCTCTCTCTCTCTCTCTCTCTCTCTCCTTCTACTCCAGTCCCTATGAAAAGACTGAGGAATAAGAGGAGCTGGACTTCCATGGGAGTATCGCATCAATGAACACAGGTTAATTCCTCCTTCCTTCATGACACAAGGGTTGTACAGTGCTTCTTCCTAGTGGAAGAGGGACCCCTTGCAGGAAGCTAGCACACAGCTCATTGCTGAAATCCTATGGAGCAGGATTACCTGGAATCGGAGTTCCCAAGTCAGGAAACTGTGGAATGGGAAGCTTCTGCAGGGTCCTCTGAAGAGGCAGAGCAGGAACATTTGGATATCTGCTACACAGAGCATCAGTGGATGCCATGATTAACCAGCCTCACCAAGGAGATGCCTGCCTCCTTTATCCCACACCCCCACACTTTGACAACAGATGGGTAAGACAGAGAAGAGGAAGAATTAGGGTGATCTTATTTATAATGTGTTGTGTAAACCAGGACAAATCTGAGAATGAGTGGAATTGCTATTAATAACTACACCAGGACAACAAGTAAAAACTGAACTATCCCTGAAAAACTGAGATATATGATTACCTTGGGGGGTAGGTGCATATAAAGAGAAACTCTCACCTCCCTCTGTCTCCTACCATCCTTGCTACAATTTCATCCACTGCACTATTAATAGGCTTTATCTAGCCTGCGGGAAAAGGAGAGAAAGAGCTTCAGTGCAAGTCTGAAACTGAAGTTTAAAAGTGAACAGAACTGAGCCTCAAGGGTTGGAATGAGATTTCTCTAATAACAAAGTGACTGAAATTGATAGGATGTATCCAAAATGGCATTAAATGAGCCATTTTCTTACTGGCCAAATACTTATTGGCCTAATACACCTGTATATGGAGACTAAAGGAATATAAAATATACACTGATGAATATAAGGACACCGTTTAATGCAAAATAAACAGCATTATTTCCTCAAAAAATGAAGAAGACATAAACAAGCAAAACACATAAAAAAAGCGCACAAGCCAGCAAATGGGTTCAAAACCTGGCCTTCTCTGTTTCTCACTGGGGAATCTTACTTACATGAGAGATTTAACCCCTCTGAGTTTCCGTTTCCATGTCTACAAAATAAGAATCACATAGCCACCTCGGAGACTTGTGAAGTTATATAAAAGCATTTAAAAAGATGCTTGACCACAAGGGCTAGTTGTGTTGTACTCAACAAAGGCATCTTTGGTTTCCCTCTCTTATGCTTTCTCATTATAATGCCCCAGAGTTCTTTGCAGAATGAGACAATGTGCTTAAAAGTACTTAGCACAGAGCCTAGCACAATAAGTATTGATTCCCTTCCTACAGACCCAGATTGCTAAGCTACTGTGCAGCTGGTTTCATGACTGTGCTCAAAATGGGCCATTTCATGTCCATTCTGTGTGTGTCCCTACATGATCTAAGACCTTTGAACCAAACTCATGAATATATGTGTGGACTCTGAGAAGAAAGTTTCAGGTCCTCAGAAATTATTACTCCTCAATGCTCACACCTCTGCCCTCAGCCCAGAAAAGGAAGCAGCTGAAAAGGATTTAAGCTCAAGAACGGAAAGATCAGCTATTATGGGATTCAAGGAATAGGAAATACATGCTTTCTTCTTCCAACAAAATCCAAGACACAGGCAAAATAGGTTCAAAATATAATCAGTCTGAGTAGAGCAAGGAAAAATAAAGTCAAACAAACAAAGATACAATAGTCAATTGAAGAACTATGTGGAGAAGAGGTAGACCCATTGTCTTGGTATCGGAGTTGAATGTGGGGATTTAAGGCTGAATGATGTGTAAATGAGACTGAATTCTTCTCTTGCATACACTTCCGAAGTAGCCATTCATCTAGTTTTCCAATAACATGTATTGGGCAACTACTGTGAGCCAGGCAGGTGTCTCACATACTTTCACACATTCCCATACGTTTATGGCGCTGTAGGACAGAAGAGAGAAAACAGTTGATTTCTTCAAAGTGGGACTCATAGCAGAAGCAGCATATCCTGAAAGAAAGACCAGTAACTACTTATAACATTAAAAGGTAACAAAGCTTGCATTCATCTCTAACCATTTTATGAGGGGGAAAAAAAAGGCATTACCCAATTCACACATTCATTCTTATTTTAAGGGTGTCATGAGTAATAACTTAAGGTTTAGTGCTGTAGTAAACATCTGATGACTCAAACTAGGCAGTATCATTTGCCTCTACATGCATTTGTGTATCTCTTGTGGGAGTGCGGAAGAGTGATAGGTCATGATAAGATGCTCTAGGGAATTCCAACTGGCCTTTAGTAATTCTCATTCAGATGATGACGCTACCCTACTGGGACAGTTGGTAAAAGTGTGGGGATCTTTTTGTCATCAAAACCAAAACTGGGGATCACTACCGGCATTTAGTAGGCCAGGACCAAGAAGGTTACAAAGTCCTGTGATTCACAAGTTTGTCCCAAAGAAAAGAGGGTCAAGGGAGAAGAAGAACCACATGTTACTTACACACTGACAACACCCCTGAAGCTGCAGTAGGAACTTTACCTCCATAATCTAATTTACTCTTTAAAACAGTCTATGAATTCTTCCAGCAAATGTATCAATAGCGGCCCCAGTGAAATAGTTTTCTGAGCCTTAATCAGCATCTTTCCAAAAGGTTAGGCATGTCTCTCCAACTGGTGCCTGAAATTGACTGGGAAAGGATTTAACAGACCATTTAGACATTTAAGTATTTAAGAGGAATCATCTACTCTCATCATTATTTCATAAAACAAGAAACACTGAAACATCAAACAAGCAAGAAGAATATAATCTCAGAAGGAAACATGGTCGGTATCAAATGCATTTGGCATAATGAAAAGCTCACTGGGTTTTTCCAGTTTTTCTCACTCCACCACAAAGCACTGATAACCTCATCATGGTTCATGTCCAATCTTGGGATCATTATTTGGTGACCGCTGACCAATTTCAACAATTTGATCTTGGCAAGACTACTTCTTAAAGAATGGGGCAAAACGTCAGACTAATTTCTGGTTCAGGGGCAGCAGAAAGGTCCCAAACCAGTGACCCTGAGCGAAAGAAAGGGAGTTGGGTGAGAACGACAAAACACAAAAAGCAAGTAGCCATCTTTGGAAAATAAAAGGGCACCCAGGGTTTCCTGGAGTTTTCCTCTGCTTTTTAATAGGATTATTAGACTCAGAAAACTATCCTCTAAAAAATTCACACCTTAGGAGTACCATTTTCTTCTTTCTACACTTTGTCAAAAGCATAAAGGCTTTTTCTTGGACTCAGTCTTTTGTGATTTCTATCGGTGTTTCCCCCTTTCCTTTCAGTCCCTTTGTTCTTCTCTCCTCCCCATAATATAATAGCAATATTTTCTTGGCCATCTTGTAGTAGTTTTCGGGCTCACCAGTAGCTCCTTACAACTAACTCTGCAGTTAGTAAAAACAGTCAAGGCGACCACAGCAGAGGTGGAATAAATAGACTAGCAGCAGAAAGGAAAGTCCACGAGCTTTGGAGTAAGTAGGGAAGGAAAGACTGGTTTTGAATCCCAGCTAAGAGTGCTCCTTGGTGGCCGCCATACGCCTCTGAACCTCCGCTTCCTTATCTGTAAGATGTGTTAAGCGTCACCCAACCCACTTGAAGGAAGATGAAATCAGACTGTACAGAACTAGCGTAAGTTGCATTCAAGAAATGCTAGTTTCTTCTTTACCTCCCTTTTCCTGCTCTTCTGGACTTTTCAGAAATGTTCCACAATTTGCCAGTTTTGTAGGTCTTTTCTAGTCTTTTAATTTATTCAGATATGGTCAGTATATGGTCACTGTGACAGAAGATAGGCGGGCTACAGTCCCAAGATTCAATCAAGACCTACTGGTTTGCATAAACAATTTTCAAACACAGCTAACAACAACTCACAGCTTGCTTCTTTTTGCCTTTCAGATATTCTCCCAGATGAAATGCCCTCAGCTTCATCTCAGCATCCTAAATGGCCAGTTGTCAAGGGCTCATACAACTGGAAGAAAGACTAAACTGAAGAGGATTCAATGTGATTTGATCTGGACTGATGTAATTTGGGATTCTTCTGGGGGGGTGCTTTTGTGGATTTTGGAGGGAATAAGGGATAAAAACTCATTTAAAACAAGTACCCACTAAGTCAACATAAGGGAACTATTTTCTTTTTCTTTCTGCCTATATTTCTTCTAATGAAAAACAGTAAATCGAAATACAGTTCTTATATATATAGAGAGAGAGACAGTAAATGTTGGCAGTTAGCCAATCTGTATAAGTTTAAATTCTACCTTTGCCACTTACTGTGTAACTGTGCAAATTATTCAATTGCTCTGTGCCTCTCTTTCCTCACCTGTAGAACAGTATTTACAGAATAACAGTATTTACCTACAGATTCACTGTGAGGAATCAAAAGTCTATACAGGTGTAGGGTTTAGGACATTGTCTGGCACACGGTAGGTACTAAGAGAGTATAACAATTATTTAGCAGTTTTTCAACAGGTAATTAGCGAGTACCTACTAAGTGTTAGGTAGGGTTCTAGAGACTACGAAAGATTAAAAAGTGGATTACCATCTCTTCATTGCTTTCAAGGATCTTATAATCAGAGAATAAAAGAATTGTTGAAGATTGTTTATTACCTTACAAAGCACTTCCCACAGGCAAGTGGTATAACTATTATTATCTTCATCATTTTGCATATGAATAATAGGGGGTTCGATATTAAGTGTCTTGCCCAATGTCACTTAACTAAAGAGCATCAAACCAACACTGCAGGATTTTGGACTGCAGAGCCCCGTGCTATTTCACTTCCAGCACATTGTGGCTCCGAAAATTTATCAGAGAATGTTTCACTTATTCTTTTTAAGAATTTACTTGATACCTAATAATTCAAGGGAATCCACAGCAATTATGCAGAGAGGGTTCTTTATTTCCAAACTTGTGGGGCTCGGGAGAATAGCCCAGGGCATTGTCCTGCTTCAGGGAGAGCACATGGAAACGTGGACATTGCCTTGTCTGGAATCACTGTCAAAAGCCCTCCCTGCTCACGTTATGTCTGGAATTGCAATCAACTCTAAAGGAGCATTAAAAGCTTTGGATCAATATTAAAATTGAATAATTGTGCTTTAAAATGATTTCTGTCTATGGGAACAAATGTATTTATTGATGATGACAGAAGAAAACACCACTGATAAAAGAGACAGACTTCATACACTGCTTTCTTTGGTATCTCCAACAAAGGCTTTTACCATTATAGCCACCCTAGTGTCTAGCACAGTGCCTGACACATACTAGGTACTCAATAAAAAGTTGTTGGTTGGATGAATGAATGACTGTATTCTATACAAACTGTTGAAAACGTTTTTAAAAGTCAACTTGTATATTTATTAAAATGAGAAACATAGTCAGCATTTAAGAATGCTTTGTAGAATTGCTATGCTTAATCCTAAACTTCTTTCTTCTTTTAACTTTGAAGAGAGAAGTCACGTGGCACAAATGAAAGAACACTGGACTAGCTGTTGGCAAGCCTGGATTTTAATCCAAGCCTCACCACTGGGTTATTTTGTGACATGGAACACATTAAGACATACCCTCCAGGGCTTGGTTTTCTATTTTTGTCAAGTGCAAGAGCCAGACTAGTAAGTTCCTTCACCTCTCACTGTCTGTATGTTCAAATATAGCTCTTATATTTGTATAACCTGAAAAATGAAGATGAAAAACATATGATGTAAGTGACAGACAGGCAAACACTGTCCTGTGTGCACCTCTACCCCACTCCAGGCGGCTTCCTTTCTTTACCTTGTCCTGGCCTGCCTGAGGTCCTTGCCCATAAAACCCTGCCCTTGACATAGGTTTTATATTACTTATCAATTGCTGCATAACAAATTATCCTAAAACTTAGAGGCTTAAAACAACAAACACTTGAGTCTCCCAGTTTGTGTGGGTCAAGAATCTGAGCACAACTTAGCTGAGTGCCTCTGGCTCAGGGTCTGTCATGAGGCTGCAATCCAGCTGTTGGCTAGGGCTGCAGTCATGTCAGGCTCCATCGAGGCTGAAGGACCCGCTTCCAAGCCCAGTCATCTGGCTGTTGCCAGGCCTCAGTGTCTTGCCATGTGGACCTCTCCATAAGCTGTCTGAGTGTCCTCACGACATGGCCACTGGTGGTCTGAGGGGGAACAGCCAGAGACTGCCCAAGACAGAAGCCACGGTGGTTTGATAAGTATTCTTGAAAATGACATTCCATCACTTCTGCCATGTTCTATGTGTTAGAATCAGGCCAAGAAATCACACTCAAAGAGAGGGGATTACACAAGGGTGTGACTATCAGGAGGCAGGAACCGTTGGAGGCCATCTTAGAGACTGTCTACCACAGCTATCATTCACTCACTAGTATGAACTTCAGATGTTAATCAGGGTGTCTTATTCCATCTGGGATGCTATACCAAAATGCCACAGACTGGGCAGCTTGTAAACAACAGAGATTTATTTCTCACAGTTCTGAAGTCTGGAAGTCCACGATCAGGGTTCCAGCAGGGTTGGATGAGAGCCTTCTTTGGGTTCCAGGCTTCTCATTGTAACCTCACATCATAGGAGGGCAGGGGAGCTCTCTCGGGCCTTGTTTCTAAGGGCATTACTCTCATTCATCAGTCACCCAAAAGGCCCCACCTTCTAATACCACCACATGGGACATTAGGATTTCAAAATATGAATTTTGGGGGGGTGGGAAACAAACGTTCAGACAATACCACAGAGGGTATTCATTTTAATTGTGGGATACCAGTCTCTGTCTACTCTATGAAGACTTTCAAGCACATTTGACTTGGGGCAGAAGTTAGGTGGTAAAATAGGGAATAAAATGAGAATGGGGAGGGAAAGGATATGTCTCCCAATAAAAGTGAAACCATAGCCATATTTATTGAGTCCTGCCACATACTAATCAATATGGTAAGCATACTGCAGATCGCGTTATATAAAATTCTGCTGCCTTCCCCAAAGTACAACATATTTTCTATAGGCTACCTCCCCCAAACCTCCACCACCCCAGAAGAGAATTAACTGAAAAACTTTTCTCAATCTACTTGAGGATCAGAGGCATAATATTATAGTGAATGGCACACATATCTCTTGCACTTTCCCAGTCGTAAGTGTGTCTTTCAAACTCTCTAAGTTTCCTTGTCTAAAAAAAAATGGTGTATCACCCAACCCATCTATCATATGGATGTGTGATACAGGCTTATTTCTGAGAAGGGGCTTTAAAAATTAAAGTACCATCCAAATGGAAGGTATTTTGATTATGCAATTTTTCTTGGGCACACTGAGAAAACAAACTCTTGACCTCTCCACTCTTTCAACAGATATGTGCCAACTTCCATTAGTCATAAGATATTTACAGAAAATATGTCATTATTATGGAAAAGTGTGAGCCTATCAACAATGCACCACTAGCCAGGACTGACTAAATTGTGCTATGGTAACAAACAATCCCCAAATCTTTGTGGCTTAAAACCACAATCATTATTTCTCTCTCACACTCTATGCCCATCCCAGGTCGACTGGCACTCTGCTCTGTGTCATATCAATTTGATGGGACCTGGGCTAATGAAGAAGCCACCGGTCTATGCAGCAGGAAGACGGAATGATAGAAATAATCACATACCTCGTCTTGAGTGGCCCAGGAGTGACACATACCATTTCGTCTTTCACATCATTTTCCAAGACAAATCTTGACGGCCCACACTAACTTCAGAGAGTAGATAGTCAATCTGTAAATGTGCCCACGAAGGAAAGAGCAGTGAGAACATCAGGCAGCTGCACTAATGTCTTCCTCAATGTCTTCTGAGAAAATACAGGGTTTGTGTTTCCAAGCTCCAGGAGACAATTAACCTGTGACACAGTTTTAGTTTGCAGGCAAAGCCCTCTTATTTATGCATCATTTAAGATTACTTTTTCTGAAAAATGAGTGATTATGCCAAATTATTTTTTATTTTAAAAAACACAGAGTTCATTAGGAAATCTTATCATCACCTCTCCCTCAATGTGTCTGTAACTCATTTTCACAGAAAGAAGCCTGAAGTGGCACTTGGTGTGCATGTGCGCCTACATATGTAAGCACGTTCTTAGGACGCTGGGAAATGGAAAGACGTGACTGGCTTAAGGTCAAGTTTAGTCAATGCTTATAAATTTCTATTTGCAAGGTTAATGACTTAGCCCCTTCTTATTGAGTAGCTCTGAAACTTGTTATAAACGTGTTAGTTGAGTTGCATCTGTTTTAGATCGGCCTTCAAATCACAGCCTACTCGCACTTCCTCCCCAAGCTTCCGCAGCCTTGGATCCCTACCACCGTGCTAATCCAAACGAACACTGAAAGGAGCCTCCATTAGTTCTGGCTTCTAGTCTCCGCTCTTCCATGAACTAGCTGTATTGTTTGGGGAAGGCTGCTGTCTCTCTCCAGGCCTTATCTCTAAAATGAGGGAGTTGACTGGGAGAATTCCAGCTATAACTGCTTATGGCTCTAAGTCAGACTGTGAAGAGACAGCGCGAGACAGTATGTATGTTTCTTCCTCTTTCCTGAGTTTATCAGCAACTGGAGGAGCTATCTCAGCAAAGGCATAGCCTCCTAACATACAACAGAATGCCTTTGAAGATAACTCACATTTCAGCACCTCTCAATCTAGTCTTTCCTCAGATCCCTCCTTGTCAGCTTTGGGGTGAAAAAAAACAACAACAAAAAAAAAACCTCAGCAGTAAAGTACAATTTACAGGCATTGGATGTTTAATACCCTGTCCCTTACTTAAAACAAAAAGAACATACACAAAAGTTGAAGACTATTTCTCTGATTATATTGACTACAGTTTTAAGAGGTTTTTTTGTGGTGATGATGTTGCTGATTAAGAAGCAGGTTAAGAAAGTAACTGTTATGATTTTTAATTGCTTATTCATCTAAACTTTTTTACAGCCACATATACAATAATTGATGGAGTCAAAAGATTCTGGAGGACTAGTCTAGGAGAAAAAGGTCATACTCATTTGTATGGTTTTGTTGACATAAGGCCACTGAAAAAATAATTGCAGTAGGAAAGAAAATGTTTCTTGGGTTACCAACTATAAACAGTTTTCTAAAAAGTGGCTTGAGACAAGTTAATGTTTTACTAGGAAATGTCTTCAACACCTTGAAAATGGTTGATAGCAGAATCACAGTATTTCCTGAATTTCCTAAACTCCAATGAGTAACTTGGAAAGTCTAAATATTTTGGAGTCATACACATTTCCATTCAAACCCTAGTGACTCAGTAACCTTGAACAAGTTACATTAACTCTCTGAGCCTCAGTTTCTTCATCCACAAAATGAAAAGGATTCCTCTAGAACAAATTATTGTGAATAGTAAAGAAATTAACATAAGTGAAACTCCTCAGAGTACAGAGAACATACATGACAGATGACCAACATCTTCATTCACACAAAACTATCAGGATGAGATTTGTATGGGGTGAGGTATGAAATGTTATACAAAAAAAAAAAAAGTACGTATTGCTCAAAAATAATGCCAAAAAAAAGGGGGGAAAAAAAGAAAGAAAGAAATGTTATATATGTCAGCCCATTCCAAGCTTATATCAAAATGTTAGGTCAGACATTTAAAGAGCAGAGGTATGGAACATAAATTGATTTAGGCAAATCTGTCTCATAAGTAAAGACAACCACGTATTTGATTTTGTCACAATTTGAGCTTTATGTTAATCACTGTGTTAGTACCGTTCCTTCCCTGTTTTACTTTAGTCTCTGACTTTGTTGGTTCCATAGCATACACGGAGCCATAGAGTATGACTGAGCTGTGGAGGGGAGGGGCGTGAGACCTCTACTTTCTTACATCCTCTTACCTTAGGCTGGCCAGCATGAAAAATAATGCATACATAACTCATTTCATAAGTTTTATAAACAACTTCAGCAATTTGTTCTCAAGGATCAAACGTTTCATCATTACTCAATAGTAACTCCAAGAAATGCCCTTCTAGTCACCTAGTATGTCTGAATTAGGCTATCTATCATCTTGTACTCTGTGTTTTTAAATAGAAATCCTGAGAAGATATTAAACAAAATAAAATTTCACCCTAGCAAATGTCTATCTACACTTCAACTTAAGATCTAAAAAATATTCTTTCTTAATCTCCATTGTTCGATTTTATTTATATTTCATGTCTTCAGTTCTTTCCTGAAATATCTTTATAACTCCCCACCACCATTTTCTAAGAAAAAGAACCAAACCTATACTTCTCCTGAGACTCATGACTTTTTAAAAAGCTCAAGTCAGGAAATGAAGCTCAACTTCATTTCCAGGTCTCTCTCCATTTTCATCCATTAAGATGTCTTATTTCAAGAGAGTTATTCCCTATTGCTTGCATTTTTTTTCTCTCCTCTTCCCAAATTCAGTTTGGTTTTCTCAGGACCCAACCAAAAAAACCACAGAACCATAGCACTAGGAGAGCTCTCACATATTTTCTAGGGTCTTTCTACCTAGAAATTTCTGAGAAATTATATGAACTGTACTTCCTAGTTCTTGATCCTTCTTGGTATGAACCAAGCTTGACCCCTCTTCTTCCTACAAAATATAAAAAATAAAAGCAAAAACTACTTGCTTTACCTTGAGCAGGTAATTTTGATTCTTGGTATTGTTTCCTCTTCCATAAAATGTAGGTGTTTTGGTTAATAAGCAGTACAGAGGGGAATCAGGGGGAAATCAGATATATGGCATATAACTTCTTTTGCAAGTTCAAAACCTATGGTTCCTACATAATGTAGTCATTGACTCTATCTAACAGGAAGGGGAGATATCACACAGACATTTCTTTTTGTCCAAGTGCCACCTTAGAGCTGTGGTCGTGTGGTAATATGGCTGGTACAATTAGAAACCCAAACTGGAAACCAAGCAACCACAAAAGGAAGAGGCCCTGGAACAACTCTAGGCCCTGACCCAGAATTTCCAGCCAAAGGATATTGCAGGAGCTTGTGCTTTACTGCACATATGGTCTCCAGTCTGTGCCTCTCCAAACAGTGGGCAATCTCCACATACCTCACATGCATACCTGGAAACCTTCATGCTCATTTAACTGAGACTTTTCAACAAATCTCAGAGGAAAAGAAAACTAGATAACCAGTTACTTAACTAAGGGCCATAACTCAACTCATCTTAGGGTGTCATCAACAGCTCCGCTGCCATGATACACCATAAGAGAAATACCCAAGTGTTTTTCATCAGAACCTCTGCTATGAGCTTCTCTGACATTGAGCTATGGACTTTATTGTTATTTTAAAGAAAAATTATTGTCAAACACATGAATTTTAAAACATCTGTTTTCATTCTGAATTCCTTCTTCCCAAAGATATTTCATCAGAAAGAATTACCATTGCAGACCCAGGAATTTGAAAATATTCACAAACTCATACACAGAAACCAAACAAGCTGTCAAAGTCATGGATTTGGAGGCAAAGGAGGAAACGTTGCAAGCCAGTCATACTAGGGATGTGGCCTTAGGAACACCAAATGTAAAAATGACCCATTGGACTTCTCTCTTTCCATCCAATTGTGTAGTGACATGAGGATAAATTCCAAGATTCACCACCAGTTTAAAATTATTTCATTGTGACTCCTGGGTTTTCTGAGATATGCATCATCATTATGTTCATCCCGCAGAGAGCCACAGTGATTTAGAGAAACATCTCAGAACCCTGGAGTGCACCACTCTAGCCCTTTACCCACCAATGACACTCAGCTGGGTCAATAATACTTGCTTTCTAGAAAAATACAGGAATGTGTTATTACTCCTTTATTGAAACAGCCTTTTGAGTTGGTCTGTTTATGTGAATTAAAAAAAAAAAACACACATAAACACTGTGTTGGTGAATTATGTTACAATTGGTAAAATTTCAGGAAGGAAACCATTCAGGATTCATACTTTACAGCCATGTCACCTGAAATATTATTATCTTTAGTGTCTGACTTATCAACAATCTGCTAGAGGGATGATATTCTTTTCCTTTTTATTTATTTATTTTTTTAGCTGAGCCATCCTGCCACCTGTTGGCAGCTCAGCGGCAGCTCAGATCAGCTTGGGCCGGGACTTGAACCGGCGACCCTGTTGCTCAGAGCTTGCACTCTTGAGCGAGCTCTTACCCAACTGAGCCACTTAGCCAGCCCTTGATATTCTTTTTCTGAATGTGCAGGCAAGCAGGAGGAAGATTTACTTGCGTGGTTATTATGTGGCCTGAGACTGATTTATATTTTTTTATTATATTGCTTCCCATAGCAGCCAAATAATCTTGAGCAAAAAAGGGGGAAAGGGTAATTATAACAGTACAACCTTGCTGTAAAACATAATGTTTCCTTATACAGTTTCCTCAATGTGAAGTTCTCTGTGAAGTCTAATATTATGGCTGGGCTTTCAAGTCAGCTAGAATCACAATTCTCACATAATTACAAAAGGGACATCCTGTGGGTTTCAAACTACAAAATGATGGCCCAGAACAGACGGGACAAGGTGTCTGGGGGATAGGAGCATGTGAATTTTTTTTTTCATCATAGCTAATAAGCAAAATGAACACCACCTCTATGCCCAGGGTTTTGACTCAAATTCTTGTAACCTGCGGGTTTGAAGGATTCCACTGAAATTCAGCTTGGGCCTGTTGCTGATCATGTGTCTCTGGTGGTGTGTTTTCGGCATAGAGCTCCATGGCCGGGGACAAGCTTAACCAAAACTATGCTGTAATGT